AAAATCCATTTTAAGTAAAACCCTAAATTTCTCCAACTCAAAACATTCTAAATAAAGCCACATTCTTAGTATAAAAATATCTCCTAATCATTCCATAACAATCTCCCATTAAAATTCTTAAAGAAAATCAAAGTTTTCTCAAACCCTAGTTTTCATTTCTTAGGGAAAACTCAAGGGAAGAAGGAGGAAGCTCAAGTAAAACACATACCTTAACCTTCCCTTGGATTTCCCTACGTTTTCCTCCACGATCGGCCGCCGGAAACCCTCCGCCCGTAGCTCCCGTCGCCGCTCCTACCCGCGCCCTCTCCCTCTTCTCCGCTCGGTTCGGTCGCAAGAAGCAAATGGGGACCGAAATATTTCGGTCCCCTAATAAGGGTGGGGTTCTCATAAAGCTAGCACAATGACCTCAAAGCCCTCACTTAAACATCCTCTCTATTCAAAAAGCATTAAGGGCAAAATTGTCATTTAGAACTTTCTGAAAATTTTAACTCTCAAAATACTCAATATTCGATATGGGTTCTATACATCAAAACAATCAGAATTTTGCGCTCTATTTTCTAAAATTATTCCCGTCGAAATCCGACAACCTCGAATTTTTCACTTAAAACTCGTCGCGGCGCTTTGAAAAGCGTGCGAGGTCTAAAACGGCATTTTGCGGGTTTTACAAAATGTATAATCATTTTCATTTTCGTTCCATTTAATGTGCACGGGTATGTTGCGTCCCCCGCTAGTACTATAAGGGGGTGAAGTTTTGTCATTTGCATGCATGCTCCCTTTTCCTTTTTCATGTATACTTCATTTTCATATTATTAGTTATTTTATTCATTTCATTTTTTAACATGTACTTAATCAATATATATTTATTTTGCATTATAATTTATTTGTTACTCCATTTTTTGGACATGCTAACTATTTATGTAGAACGATTAAATAAATATGATATGATATTTAAAACTAACATGAGAAATAAAAGAATATAATTGCTGTAAAACAACTGTAATTACCCACTCGATTACTTTCTATGTGGCAGAGTGGTTATATGAAATGTTGTATGGTGATTAAGGTGCCTCTATGTGGTGGGTTGCCTGATGATTGGTGAGTTGTTACAATGACTTAACAAACAAAATTCATTAAGACAACTATCTTATTGTTACTACTTGTTCCGTATTAATGGAGTGATGGAGACTGGCTGACAACCATTTCTGCTTGAGGTAGAAGTCTTGGCTATCATGACATTGGAAGAAGAGGGGATCCTCCAAGGACTTGTATATATTGACCCTCTACCTGAGGTCCTACGATTAAAAAAAAAAGCCCCAAATTTAAACTTATAAGTTGTGAACAAGAGA